CGACGAGCTTATCCATCCGTTCATGTTTTCCTTCAATAAGTACGGCAATTGGAGTCATCCTGCCTTTTCCTTCTTCTTCAACGACCCTGAACCCATGCTCCAACCTCGCTATTCTTCCTTGGCTTCTACTCCCCTTTTGAAACCCTCCGTCATCCTCCAGTCGATTTCAGATCTATGCAGCGCTTGGACCGCCATATATTCTTCGGAGGACCCGTATGATCTCCATCGTCAGGCGAAAGGCATACCGATGCTGAGCAGTGGACCCAGCAGCGTCGATGGAGACTGGTATCAACGTCCCATCATCTGTTCGCCGTTTCCATCTGGCAAAGCGTTCAGGGAAGGCTGGATGTTCGTCATGATCCTCTCAAATCCCATTCGGTACGGCACGAACAGTAGCATGTATGGGTTCCTTCGACCCAAGGCCGCTGCTTCCGAGTCCTCTCCATCAGAGTTTGGTAGAGGCGCGCTAGCGGACTACGAAGTGCACGATCTCAGCTCCTTCCTCGCGGAGTTGAAGGTGGAGGGATACCCAGAGCCTCCCGCAAACCTCGTCGAGTCGACTGTCGCGTCGCTCGAGCGATTCGAAAAGCTGGTCTCATCGCAGCCGATCGAACCAGACTACCTCGATCTGTACGAGATGGGCTGCATGAAGAAGCCCGTGCTTACTCCCTTGACGCAGGAACATTTGGGCGACTTTACGGGGAACGAAGTTCTTTTACATTATCTTAGTGAGCACGCTACGTTTTGACTCTCCCCGCGTGCCGGGGAGCTCGAGGAATATGCTTATCTTGTTAACACGTTAGAACGGTCGCAACTACATTGACGCGTCTTATGATCAACAAGATTCACGCCGAACAACCGTTGGGTGTTGGGGTAGCAGTTTATGTATAATGGGCATTTCCAAGATTACTTTGTGGTACATCGAAGTCCAATTCCTATTCTCAAGCAGTACCAGTCATGGCAAGTCCTTGAGCAACGTACTCTTATCCTCCCCATCCAGTCCCTCCCACTTTGGCTTTCCATCGGCTATATCAATGACTCTCTGCGTGTAAAAGATATGGCATCTATGCAGATCTCGGGGTCAGTAGTAGCCAAAACGTCGTAAGGGAGAACCGAACGCACTCTGGCTCGAATCTCTCCCTCTCCTCCTTGCTCTTGAACTTGACGAGAGTTGGGAACATCAACACCATATTCCTTCCTTCATCCATAATCGGTGCACGACAATACTCGCAGCTCACTTTGCAAGGAAGATCGTAATGTGCCTTCTTACTCCCCGATTGATAATGACTCAACCCCTCAGAACCGTTCTCGAATACGAGATCTTCCTTTTCAAAGATGGCTGCCCATTGGAATGGTGCTCCTGTCCGCAATCAATGGGGGAAAAGAAGAGATTATGAGTCATTATGAGCAGTGAGCTTCAATACACACGTACCATGAAGCACCTGACAATCTTTACAATGACAATACTTCGATGCCAACGGCTTTTCCCTACTCAACCAGAATCGAATCTTGCCGCAATGACAGCTCCCTTCGTATTTCCTGTCGAACTCTGTGTGGCCAGAGGCGTTGGGGTGGTATGGAGCGCGAGTTCGCCAGTCTTGTACCTTGTCGATGCCCATGGCTTCGAAATCGGCCATTTTTGTTTGTATGCAATAGTGGTGGGTTTGCAGGAGCGATGGAGGTGATGGTTGTGGTGGTGGTGGTGGTGGTAAGAAAGAGGGAAATCTTTGCGCTCGAGGCGTAATTTATATGTAGCCTCTGTGGGTTGATTCAGTCATTGGGACCTCAGAAATGACGTCAGGGTTGTCGTCTTCTCGCGCTCAAAGCGCGATGGTGGACCCACAAACGTCCACAACGCCGGCAGCATTCTTTGACAAACGAGCCCAGCATTAAAAGTAAAGTAAACTAGAGACAAGAGTTTGTGCCATACAGATGCATAGACATAGATGAATGGAAGCCATACGTAGGTTTGAGAAGAAAGGAAGAAACATAACCATACTCTATTCGAACCGTCCATTGCCGTTTCACCGACTCAAAAGTGTATCTCGTCTTCACTTAGACCACTTCCCCTCTCATTCTCGCCTCTTCCAAGCTCAGCTGAATTGCAAGCTTCAAATCCTCATCCTCATCTTCACCAACCCTCCACTGTCCGCCGCTCGACGACGACGATACCTGAGTAGCCGTCTGCTTCGCCGGTGATGGCCCAGCAACAGCCTTCAGGGCCGGACTCCCGCCTCCCCAAGCACCCTTCCGACTGGACCCCTCTCCAAGACTCGTACTCTTCGAGATCTTTGGCGAAGTAGAAGCCATCGACGGGAACCCATCGCCGTCCCTCCCCGTTAACTCCATGTCCGAGATCGAACTCGCAACAGATCCCCATGACTTGGACACTGCTATCCCACCACCACCACCACTCAAATTTGAAGACCTAGCCGCCGGATCGCCTCCCCATCCAGCTTCCCAAGGTTCCTCTCGTGATCTCGGTGAGATCTGGATCTTCTGATTCGACGATTGACTGCCGCGTGGTGGTGTATAAGGCGAATACGTCGGTTTCGACGGTCGTTGGGGCGGTGTGTTCATCGACACAGACGGCGGTGGAGAAGAGCCCTCGTTCGAACTCGAGCTCTCACTCGAAGGCGGAGTGGGCACAGACCTCGAAGGACCCGCTCCCACCCTCTCACCGAAGTCGAAATCACCTTCGAATACCCCTTCCTCAAGCAAAGCTTGCACCTCCCGCTCCTGCTGCTCCTCACGTTCACGTTGAAGCGCCTCATCTCTACTAAGCATGAGCACATACTCCACCGCTTCGACCTCGTCCAATCCCAACTTCTCCAAATCGTCTCTTTGTTGGCGTTCCCGATCATACACCTTCTTCATGTGCTCCGCCTCTTTCTCGTGCTCATGTACCGACTCGTTTATGAGCTGCTTCAAGGCATATTGATCTGGGGAAAAGAAATGAGCATCGTGTCAATCAAACCTCGAACAATGAAGAAAACCCACTATATCCCTTCGAGTTCACCGCCGCATGACTTCCCACTTTCACCTTGGTCTTCCTCCCCAAATTAACAATCTTATCCCTCTTCACCACATCAGCCTTGAACCCCATAACCCTATCGCCCACAGCGACAACCATAACGTCCTTCTCCCCGCTGACTACGATCTTCCTCACACTCTGCATCTCTGGAGCATGACCACCCCGAGGTCTCGTAACAGGCGTTCCGAACACTCTTAACCGCTCAAACGTATACGCATCGAAGACACTAGTCGATCCGGTAGAGGAACCAGTGATGAGGGTCGTGTTCGTCCAGTATAGGGCGGTGATGCTAGAACCATCTGCGTGGGCTTCGAATTTCTTGACGGGTTCAATGACGGTAGAATTTGGGGTCGGAGAAGATGGTGGGTAAGTGTAAACGCAAACCCACCCCATCGAGGTACCGGCAATGATGAAACTCGGTTCGTCGGTACGACCAGGGCTCAGGCAAGGATAGATCGAGGTGATGGTACCGATGAAGGTGTTTGTGTCTTTGAATGTTGCGATTGATACTGAGGGCGTTGTGGTGACAGGGACGTCGATTCGGTAAAATTCAGATTGACCGTCGTATGATACGATGATACGAACCGATTGAGAGTCGGTGTGCGTATCTAGATGGAGAGCAGTAATCGTCGGGTCGAGTAAAGCTTGATTAGCGTCACTGTCCTTCTGAACAGGACAAGGCACTTTGATCTTCGTCGCCGTCCCCCGGGGCTCCGTGCTGTCCAATCGAAGGTTCGTCCAAATCACCACGTCCCCACTTTGCATCCCAGCGGCCAACACATACTCCCCTTGTTGAACCTTGCTCGTAGCAATCTTCACCGCCTTCGGATAGTCCGGCACAAAGTACTCCGATGCCCAAACACATCTCGCACTCTTCACATCCCAAACTTTCACCCTGCCATCCTTGGCAGCAGATGCCACATACCCGTCCTCCTCATTTGTGTACGCCAACTCGAGAACCTCCCCTTCGTGTTGATCTAGGACGGAGCATCTAACAATCTTTGCGGCCGACCTCGTATTCTTATCCATCGTCCTGGCCGATGTCGAAAACGCTACCTCTCCGTTCCGCATTCCCCAGTAGATCTTGGCTGTCCCTCCATCGGAGGTCATAGTACACGCCGAGACGTCTGGTGCAAACTCGGTGTTTGGGTTGCCAATGCCCAGACCGGTACCGGACGCTGAAGGCGATAGAAAACCTTTCAGGAGTTTTCCAGCGAAGACAACGGAGCGGGATACGATTCCGTATTGGAGAGAGGAGGACAGCAAGGAGGTGTTCATGGTGTTGGAAGGTGCGTTCGAGTTCGAGTTCCGCAAAAGGTGAATATCAGACACTTGAGAATGAACTGGGGCATATGCAATTGTAGAGTTTCGAAGTGATTCCCAACGTCTACAAAAAAGACTCAGAGTTAGATCAGACCCTCTAGAGTCCAGATGAGGCATATACCTGCGTAGGGAACACCTTAGGACATATTCTCTAGCCCAAGATGACTCGGATCTCCTCAGAAGGAGCCCTGTCGACTCGTCCAGGTCAGCTTCGGGCTTGACCCCCAAAAAGTTGAGCAAAAATGCTCTTCGCCACGTATGATCGTCCTTCACATGCTCATTCAGAATTCTGTTTACCCCGCCGAGTGCAAGGAGACTTTGAGGGTCGAGATACGAAGTGACATGGGTGAGGTTCTCCTTTGCGAGATCGCTGAAGCCATATTGATAAGAACTTGGGTTGGATTGGGATGATTTGTACGATTCTGAGATTGTGTTTGGGGATGCTATTGGGGAGCTATGGGGCATAAAATAGGTGAAGAAAAAAACGCTGGGAGGGTTGAGCGCACACTGAGGTGCTGCGCTGGTGGTGGTTCTGGTTTAAAAGAGAGAATTTAAAATTGGTATCGGAGGGTTGGTTATGACTCGGAAGCGGTCATCGAACGGCTTGGACGCTTATTGACTCATATATTGAAGCTCCAACCAAGTGCCCGTAACTCAGTGGTAGAGTGTGAGATTGCAATCTATATCGAGATCCGCAATATCTTGAAGCCCCGTGTTCGACCCACGGCGGGCACTTGTTTTCTTTTAAATTGCACGCCTCCCTTACTATATGGCCTGAATATCCTACAGAGTCCATTACTAAATTCTGCTATGGACATTATATAGTACACGCACTAAAAGCTACATACATACGGCTACATAAAAGTACAATCTTCAAGTTGGTGATGAAGCGCGCCCCTTCAATCAAGCTTTCAGCGCACTTGGACGTACGTCCTCCAACAAAATCCCATGCAACCAGTGGCCCTCCCTCGATAGTACAAACTAAACCCGCGGACCGGTCAGCATCACGGAAATGAAAGTGTAAGCCAATGAACCCACCCTGAACGCCCCATGACACTTCCAGCCCTCCGTTCGCTGGTACACCTCCAACTCGCTCCTCATATAATCCTCCGCAGAGCGGTGCTTGTCCTCAGGTCGGTACCATGATTCAACACCCCCCACGCCCACATTCGAAGGGCTCGGGAAAAACCGATCATCATACAACTTCACACACAACCTCGACCTCGCCTCTCCCACCCCAGGAATAACCGTATCCCCGACCGAAAGTAGTTTACACCGATACGTCATCACCGCGCCCTCCGCTGCATCTTGAACTTCTTCGAGAAGCTGTAGCTTGAAAATCCCAGGTCTAAAACTCGCCTCCTGCATCTGTAGCTGTGACTGTCGTGCCCCCTTGACACTCCCAGCCACGATATCCCCAGGTCTGACCATCTTCGTCTTCACCATCGACGCGTTTTTCCGATGCCACTCTTTCCACCGGTAAAACTGAGCTGCGAACCGCGAGTCCGTGGCAATGAGGTGAGGGTCAAAGTCGGAGTGGCGTTTGTGGGTTGTGAGGAGTTTAGAGTCGGGGATCATGTTGACGCTGACTTGGGGAGATGATCTCGACAATGCTGTGGCTGGGAGTGGTGGAGGAGACTGGCTTCTTGGTGCTGACACCGATGGCCCACGAGGTACTGGGCTCCCGTACGTGTACCCGGGCCTTGGGGTCGCTGCGGGCACAGGTAAGGGCATCGGCTGGGGATGAGGATGAGGCGGGGCTGGGGCTACACTCTCCAGAGCGTGAACATTATGATTACGAGCGACAACCGAGGTCGCCGTACGAGAGGCACCAGTGACGATGGGCCTAGTAATTCCGAGAACCATTTTGTGGTGACGTGCGCGTGAAACGGTTAATGTAGTTATGTGTGCAGGCGCAGATCGCGTTCAAGTGAGAGATGGGGGAGACAGAAAGAATTATACCTCCTCCCAACCACAGCAGTATTTAAATGAACAAACACCATCGGCGCAGCGGGCAGAGGGCCGAGGCGCCTAGGTTCCCGGTTTGGGGTTATTGGTATCCCCTCTTATGGTCATGAGCTGTAAAAGTATTCGGCGTTGGTCACCTGGCTCCCCAATCGAGATACTTGGTGATGGAGGAGCTCACCTGAGCATTGTATTCAATTAATAAGGGGCTACTTTAGCCCACGCTCAACACAGCATATTTTGAAGGTACACCTCGCCACTCCTCGGTCGCGTACGACGAGTAGCGGGTGGCCATATGCTTGTAGGCACAACGAAGTCGTTGCGGCCTGGGACTTTGAGAGTCTGGACTCTAGAATTACACAGTCTCTATCCATCGACGGAGAGCTTCTGAGAACCCGAACCCGCATCTTGATCATCCACTGGTGCCAGCGTTACGGTGTACCCCGGGAAGGTCGCATAATGACAGTCTGAGTGAAGGCTGGCCTGGCACGGGGACACGCAGTGGGTTAGTCTCGGAAGTAAATCTTCGAGTCACTGAAATCACTGAATCAGCGCTCACAGTGGCACCGGCGCGGGGAAACAGCCTACAATATACACCCAGCGTCATGTTGTGGGGTTGGTGGTGAGTAAGGAGGCGAGAAACGAGGTAATTACGCTATCGTAGCTAGCCTGAAGTCAGGTGGAGTTCGCTACCAGTCAGCCTCAGACGAGGGACTATTGGGAGAACGATTCCGACATCCACTCACCTCCGATTCCCGAAATACGGCCGTTTCCCAACTTTCCCACTGATCAAAATCGGTTTGACGGTACGGGATTACATGAATGATCTTTTCACGATGTGGGGTCATTTGACAGTTGTGAATCGTGATGCTGGTGACAACCCTCGAGCGGAAGCTTTCCGAAGGTCGCTCGCAGTACAAGCAGGGCCGCCAAGCATTCTACAACCAGTCTGTCTTTCGAGGTTGTACACGATCCTGCTAATCGAATGTTCCTGCTCCTGAGCCCACCAATGACGATGTAGACAAAGGCACCCAATAAATCCTCAGATGTTTTGAAAGTGGAGTGCCTGGTCCTGAACCTTTTTGATCCAGTGTCCACGTAGATCGTAGATGATTATCATCGGTTGGCGCTAGCGGTGAGCTGACCATTGGTGGTACGGACCTGACGCCGGGAAGCAGAAGTTATCAGGTCGACTATAAGAAGGGGTAGCGCCCGGGGCCGAGGCAGCGGGTTTATAAATCTAAGCAAGAACTCGAACGAGGCGCGTCGAAGCGCGTCATATTCAACGACATACTCTAGTAGCTTGAATTCCGGAAGAGGGCCCTCATGGAGAGCGTAGAGTTGACGTGAATGCCTGACATGACGCAGGACCTTGATGAAACCTCGAAGATGAGTGTCGATGACGGTGAGTTGAGCTATACGGGTACGATTAGCATAGTCACAACACCAGACAAGGACATGAGCACAGACATAATCTGCCGCATACGACGACAAGCGCGGGATGTGCGATGTGCAAGAGCAGACAAACGCATGTCAGATCCCACAATCATAGTTGCCAGAAGTTCAAGCTCCACAATTAACCAATTCTCACCCACCGAAACTCAGTCTCCTCATACACCTCCAAGAACTCTCTCACATCCCTCGAGTAGATCTCCCGAGCCTTTGGGTTTCTGATTGCTCCCAAATCACGAATCATCTCGAGGACATTTAGAAGCCAATCCCGCCAAAGGCGCTACCCTCGTTTGGGATAGGGATGATCGTGAACGATGTGGGGTGATAGACTCTAGCGCGTCACTAATTCAAGTTCTGTTAGTTGGTTTGATTAAGTATAGTAGACCGTATCACACCCTAGTTTTTGGCCGCACCTGTGCGTCGGCTGAGCAGTGCCCTACAGCCACCCAATATGCACCCCTTTTTCGGCTTCATCTGGCACACTCTTCAGATTCTTGCACACCTCGATAGGGATCGTCAATCCGAGACTATGTATAACGTGGATAACGCGAACTCTTGACATCAGGGATATGATGAGCGATCAGTTCTGGCGGAGAGATAGCTTGAATCTCTTGAGCCCGTGCTCGATTCGTCGCGGAGTTCGGGAGAGGAGGGACGTGGCGGTGGTGGTGGTGGTGTGGTCGAGCCAAACCTGAACACGGTGAACTAGATGTCACGTGCGTTAAATCACGCCCTGGGCCTTTTGCTCCGGATCCCGGTCCGCCGACAGGCTTTACCTTCGACCTCTCGTTTCATCGTTTCGTTCTCTCTGTCCTTGCTGAGGCTCTCCAGCCTCAAACTTCTTCCCGTCAGACGGCTTACCTGAACCCTTCGGAACCCAAAATGAATGACAATACCACCACCTCACCTTGGCATCAGACTGGTACGAGAACTCGCCTTTCTATCCAACACCTAGATTCGTTGGAGAGATGACTTCGTAGGTAGGAACCTTGGGAAGGCAACAAGAAAGTGGCATACCTGGATGCGAACGATTGATGTAATATCGGATTCTTGTGTGGATTTTACATTGCTGGTGTCAGCGAGAGCTCTCTCTGTCTGCTTTTGTCCACTCAGATTCTGACCTGCTCGCGGACCGTCAGGCAAGTTAGTCATGACGGGTCCCAACTTCTATCCTCAAAACAATAAGGACTGTAGCCGATCATGTTTCCCTACGGACCGTACTATTGCCGAGGTCTGCTGCTCTCGGGTAGCGCAGAGGAAAGCACAGAGGACTACATTCGACCTCGAGCTGAACACCTTTTTCGGAACCGGTTTGTGCGAGTCATCTTTACCCTATACTTGGGCGCCACAGAGATGCTCACGAACACGGACCCGTCTCACAGCTTCTTCATGCCTGTCAGCTCTCACTCTAGTTCACTGGAGTTCGGCCGGGACTCAGGAGCGCTGTGGTGACGACTTAGGGACGGGGCGATTCTGCTTATGCCTGTCGGGCAATCCCAGAGGACTTCCAGATTCAATCGTCATATTCGTAGTGCTGAAAACCTTACCCGTGCGGCGACGACCATGCTACTTTCGAGAACGAAACCGAGGATGACCTCGAGCTAGATGAGTGTCTCTATTCGAAGAGCCCACCTCGAGCCCGCTGGAGTTCTCATATTTTGGTCTGAATAGTCTCTGGACGACATAAAGTACTTGACGATACGGCGTGAAGACTGGCGAACATCGATCATTTCGTGCGTGTATGTTTTTCTTTCGTCTCTGTTCTTCGCCACAACGGAGACTCTGATTATTGGGGTGGATGGACGGCAGGTCTTTCTCGACTCACCGAATCAGCGGTCTACCCGGCGTTGTGGTGTCTGAATCTCCACACCCTTCAGATAGACCTGTAACTGGTCCTTCAATGACGATGGCAAGCAGAGTCCACGCGTTGCTGTGATACGAATCATGATTAACAACGAGTCTCCGGGTTCTGGGGTCCTTCTGTGGTTCGACTGGCGTCTATCAAACACCCCAAGAAGTTTTTCTGGAAAATAGCTTGTTCTTCCTGGTCCTAGACGGATCTGGGTGCTGTGGAATCTGGGACGTTTGACGTTACTCTGGTCAGACTCTCCTCATGCCTTGGGCGGTAGTAGTAGTAGCACAACCGCGGGTTTATTTTTGCAATTTCCATACTCATCCACTCCTGCATACATGCTGTGGCGAACACTATCATTCGTCTTCTGGCTGGCACGAGGTCTTCTTCTAGTTGACATCTCAGGGCTGCATTATATAATACATGTATTCGATCCACTCGAGTCCGAGGGCCATGATATTGCTGTTGTCGTCTGTAGGCGCTTCCTCCACCCCGTTCGCACGAGGCTCTTGTTCTCCTTTCCGCAGGCTGGAGTCACCCTCGAGTCATAGATCCCAAAAGACAATAGTTCTGTTCCGATATTCTATCGCCCTACTTCGGCCCTTTCCACCAAATAGTAGTAAGGACCCTCGATTTTTTGAATTCGATAGGCTGTCAGCCTGAGAGAAGAAGCGACTTGCGATGCTCCAGAATTCTGTCATCGCAGCTACCTTGTGGTATGTCCAAAAGAAGGCACAATTGTTGCGTTTTAGGACCCCGATGCGGACGTGCTAATCTACTGTTATTGGTTCTCGACTCCCGACTGTTGAACCAAATTGTCCCTTCCGCTAGTCGGGTGAAATTCGATCTACACTACGAGATTTACTCTACCTTTCTCGGCGACGAGTTAATTGAGATAAAGACCTGTAAACGTCGTGTTAGCTCCAGCGATGTAGCTGAACGTAGTGAAGTGTGGGCTCTATACAGCACGTTGTATCAACAAGGCGAACTCCGTGTGAGTGGATAGCAAGTGGGTTATTTCTCGGAGATCTACTGATTGAAAATCATCATGATAGACGTTCTCTTGTCCAGTTCAGCGATTGCTCGAGTCAGGGAGTGGCTATTTTTCCCGTACCAAGTATCGTTTCGGCAACTCAACTTGTTCATCAGTCAAGTGATTCAATTGAGTTGAGTATGCACCCACAACGCGTGTCCGCGTTGTTACATAATTACAATCACCTTTGTTCTTTCCCATTTCGACAAGTGCTGGCCACATTCCTTTTCCGCTTGTCCAATCTCGAGCGTCTCTCTGTTGTATCTACAGTGTCTACAACGTATATAAGTAGCCTCTCTGGTTGCTAGAAAATCAAAATAGTATGTCTGCACCCTCAGCCACTCGATCTCAGTCTAATGCTTCGGGTTCACAACCGGAAGCTCATCCTCAGCACGCTACATCTCCAACCACTCCCCCAAAGAAACGGGAGGATACTACACCCAAGGCGAAAACCACACCTCAGAGTCGGGCTGCATCGTCTTCCGCCAGGGACATGACCCGCTTCGAGTACGTTTGTCGATGTCTTCTCTCTAATGTCATGACTAACGGACCCACGTCAGAATCGTTCATGTAACTCCTATACTGCGCGAGGACATATTGAACACGGAGAGTGTGTCCATCTCAAGGTTCTTGGAATATACCGTCAAGCTCTTGTATGCCAAGGAGGACGACGGATCACGATCCGACATCCTGACCAAGATTCTCGATTGTACCGTCAAAATCGCCAACGGCCAGACGCCTCCTTGCAAGAGAGGGACTCGGGAGAAACTTAAGGAAAAGATTCCCCTCATCAACGCGAACTTAATCACGTAGTGAGTGATATTGTTTCTTATCACCCGTCTTGCTATTCAACCAGCATCAGTTGCAAAACTTCATCCGAAACCGATCGTTATCAGCACTTCGTCAAGGCCTGCAACGCTGCGTTAGATGCACTCGCATTGGTTGACATTGGACCGGCCTCCGACATCCCCGCACAGGGTATCTATTTTCAACGCCACGACCCCACCCATATCAAGGGCTACCATTTCAATGGCGAGACGAACGACCGCAAACCGGACGTGATTGTTGCAGAGCGCGAATTTGTGATACAGCATTTGAAAGCCAACGGTCACCCGAACGACCTTGACAAAATCGCCCACGAGCCTATCAAGAAATTCATCCCATGGAAATCAGTCTTCTCTTCCTACGAGTTCAAGAAGAAACTCGACCAACTCAACGAACAAGCAGCAGCTCTGGAGGCCCGCTGTTACACTCTTCCGAAAGGCGATGGCGAAACATTATCTCAGGAAGCCCTCAACGACATGGTGGCCGAATATGTGAGCTTAATGTCGCCTAGTATGGATCGGTCGGTCCCCGGTCCATCTGAAGCGAGTGCGTGTTCCCATCGTATTGTGCGGCGCGAACTTGACTCATCACTTTTTTTGTGCTTGATCTTAGGCGGACCGGTCAGTGAGAAGAAAAGAAAGCAGCCAGACTCTCAAAAACGCGAGCCACCGAAGAAGAATACCAAAATTGATCTGGAGAACGCCGCTCCTGTAGTGATCCAGGCTGCAGGCTGCGGAGCGGAGGCATTCAATGGCACATTCGCCAGGGCAAATCTCACGAATTGGATCATCACAGGTATGGCCTGTCTTCTCACTTTCACCGAGTAATGCAAGGTCACTAACCCGTCGTCTTAGATAGCAGAGCCCAGCTATGGTATTTCGACAGAGAATGCCCCATCCAAACTTCTGACTTCGACTTCATTCGGGAACTTCCGCTCTTCCTCGCATTCCTGTTCCTTCTTCAACGGTTCGAGCGTAAACATTGGGGATACATTCCTGAAATGTCCTCCAATCGTGTTCCGTACAAAACCCGAGACGAGCACCGGACATCCTCAATCTTTAGCACGACGGAAGAGCGTTCGTCGTGGTCGTACGGACTTGCCGGGCATTGCACCCAGACGAAGATTGGAGAATTTGAGCACGATGGCCGCAAGGGCTTTCTAAAGCTATCCTATCCCGAAATCAGCCGTACCAGCGAGGCTGAGTTTATCATTCAGGCGGAGCATCGTTGTGCGAAAGATCCTGTTGCTCTCCGCTGCATCCCAGAGCTCGTAGCCCACCAGGATTTCGATGAATTCAACACCTCAACGATTCGAAAGTTCTTTGGGTTCAACCTCGTCGAGGGCAGGTCTCGAACGGCACGAGCTCTGTTCTTCATCCGTTACGAGCCCATCACGAATCTTACCACTGACTGGACGTTGTTCATGTCTGCTTTTTGGAAGTTGGTCTACAGTAAGCACCCCCTTGTCCTTCTCGTCGTGGCTAGAATCGCTTCACATCTTGCTCTTTATCAGCACACGCCGCGTTGTGGATCTGCGGTATTGAGCATGGTGATATCAGTCTTAACAACATCATGTGGGACCCAACCAACAGACAGCCGAAGCTCTGCGACTATGACCTTGCTCATATCACAGGAGATCCACGCCCTGCGGGCCACTCCAACACCGGTACCAGGCTTTTCATGGCCAGCGAGCTCCTCACGGGTCCTGCTGTGCTAGGCGGAGTCGCAAGAGAGTACCGACATGACTGCGAATCCTTTGCGTGGGTGTTGATTTGGGTTCTGGGCCGATATCGCAATGGTGCCCAGATTGAGAACCCCGATTTCAGCAACTGGCGTAGTCCAGACTACAGGACTGTCAAAGACGAACGAGAAAAGTTCTATGCGGACCAGGCATCGGGAGTCTTCAAACTCCGAGACTCTCGCCTACCCGACAATTTGTTCGAGAAAGCGTACATCTTCTATAACAGCTTCCGCCGTGTCGCTAAAGTGCTTGAATCCAAGGTTCCGGAACGTGTTGCGCTCGGAGAAAACAGATATGATGATGCGGAGGAGAAAGAGCGCAAGAAACTAGAGCTTGGTGAACTGACTCGACAAGTGAAGGAACTCAGTTCCGTTTTTACCACTCTTTCTAACATTACGAAGACCTCGCTTTTCAAGACGGAGGAGGGAGCAAGTCAACTCGCTGAGCAGTTCAAGGCGTTGATGAAGGTGGTCGGGGAGAAGGAACTCTGAACCGCGTTTGAATATAATATTACCTCGTATTTCTGTATGGTTACGGTGACAAATATAATGCCCGTTCAGCTCCAGATCGTGCCAAGTTTCGACACTCGATGTTATCGGTATATTGCGGTTAGATACGACGAGATGCCTGGATAGCATATGCACACAGGACGCAGTGGCAGGCTGTACCCTGATTCTAAAAGTTAGTTTGTCGCCTCCATAGCCAACACTTAAGGCTGAGAACGTCGTCCTGGGTCTCTCGAACTCAGTCTCAAGTATCTGATAAGACACATTCATGCAAGAGCAACGATGCAGTTTGTTCAGATAGCGTCAATTTGTGACGCATGACGCAAAGTTCGGAGCGCGGATAATGCTAGCCAGCTACCAGGGATATTATTCAGTGCCAGATCGGGCCTCAGTCATTCCAGTTCCAACGTTCCCTTCGAAACTCGGCCTCTTCACCTAATCCAAAATACTCTCGCACATCCTTCGAGAATTGGGATCCTTGAGTACATCCAAAAACTCCTGGGTGACAGTCCAGGAACAATTGATTTTTGCATCCGATCTATAGAGACAGATACATAGCAATCTTGAGACGTACCGCAGGTGTCTATATACAGAGATGTGGAGGGAGACGGGACAGGGATCGAGCTCGATGAGGGGAAGAACCTAAGAGGAAGCCGGAGGATCGGCCCTGTGGACGAGCCTGCAAACCGTAACCTAAAAGTCTTGTACTTCAACTCGACGCTCGTGCCCACCTCGGTCGTTGCCCGATACCACGAGGGAAGAAGGTAAGATACCCAAAGAGTCAAGTTACACACTTCTACCATGAGAAAATTGCGATAGTTGTACAGAGCGGGTGGGAGAAAACTTGAGCCATAGTGCACTTCTGTATCCAAATTAGTAAACACCGTTGGTGAAGTGGTTATCATGCTTGCCTTCCATCCAAGATTATTTGTTGGAGTACTTAGAAGCAAGCGGCTCGGGTTCGATTCCCGAACGGTGTATTTTTGATGGGATAGATATTTCTTTTTCCGGGGTCTTTGCTTCTTGACTTCCTACTACCATCACTAATGGCCACAACAAGACACTCGAACTCTAAACGCAGAAGGCTTTCTTCTCCCAAGAATACAAGCTCGACGACAAAGCCTACCCCGGGCACAGTCCTGTACCGTCCTACAGGCACGACACGCTTTACCTGCGTTTCTTGCCGTCGAGCTTTGAACGCGTCAACCAACATCACCCCTTCTTCTCCTGTTTTCTGTGCAATGTGAGTCAAATTTATACTTTTCGTTGTCACATAGGACGTTAATAACTTTTGCCATCCAAAAGATGCAATTCTCCATCATGCACTATCTGCTCACGAACATGCACTGGGGACGATGCTGAAGCTGAAGTCACTCAATCGCCCGTACATTCTCTATCTGAATTCGGACAAGATTCCGCTCCAGAAACACCTCATTTGACTTGGTCACCTTCGTCACCCATATCGACACCCTCACCACCCTCACTAGTGGCATCACCTCGGCGCTTCGCACTGGCACTCAACGCTGCAAACACCAATACTGGGAATTTCTTCGGTCATAATCAGGCTCCTGGAAAACGTAAGAAACATGGCGATGATGGGGGAGAAGCTTCAGCTGGAGAGGGTGCGAACAAAGGGAGTGGATGCGGGAGAGTGGTCTGTAAGAACTGTTGCTTGGAGAGTTCGAACAGGTTCGTCGCAGGCGTTGTCGTTGCATTTCACCTGTCGCTCAGTGATTTCTATGACAGCACGGCCTGCATCGAGTGCTCCAGAGCTTGAGCAACTAATGAACTACGCGATACCTCACGAACACTTTCACGCCCACGGGCTGTGATGCTATTCTTGCTTTCCATTATCACATACTCACTACGCACACCCACCTTCATGCTATCATAGATTCAGTTATCCAGGTCGTTGCTTCGTCGCTGATTTTCTTATCCAATGCACTATTACAAGTCGTATTACTCGGTTGTCAATTCAGATTCCGCAACATGTATGTATTTGTGTATCACTTCTCTTCTTCATGGTCTTCGTTACATCTCATATCCAAACAATTCCATCTACTCGAGCTCGTCATGCTTTTTTTTGAGGTACGTCAAGGATTTTCGACCGTCGACGAGGTTTGACAAGGCCAATGACATCGATCCGGACCAGAATCTGCCGTACTCAATTGCCCAACGTGATGCTTTCCCACACGACGCGTCGCGTGTTCAGCCTCAGACGCGTTCGGAGGTGGAAAAATCAGAGTGCAAGCAATCTACATTGGTCGTTTTGATGGTTGTATACATTACAATGAACTTGATTTATGGAGTATCGGCGATACGATACACAATCTTCTCTGCGCTGACCTATTACCATCTCATCAGCACCAAGACCTGCAAACGGAACGTGTTTGAACACCGACCTTTCCCTGCTGTTGAAACTCGATCCACTTTTGCACGTCAGCCAGGCCGTCTGGTACCAGCTTTACAGGTATCGTCTTCAGCTTCTTCTCGGATAGTAAATGTCCCAGTAAAATTCCAAACTTCTTTCCAAGTTCGTAATGCTCAGTGCGGGCCAGTTGTTGCCATTCAGAGGGATAAGGTGGTTCGATAGGCTGCAAACGGCGATATGAGTGTCGTTTCTTCTCATACTGAAGAACTATTTGCCTTACCTTCCCCAACAAGGTGTACACAAACGGAAGATCAGTTTTTACATCACTCCTCTCGCTCGTGATCGGAAGAACCGCTACGATATGACCACCATCTTCCCCAAAACAAGCGCTCGTCTGTCTCCCGGAGTCCTGAGAGCCAACACAATCGACGGCGTGAAAGAGTTTGTTGGCTGTGGCATTCTTGATTTTGTCCACGACTTCCGGGTCTTTGTAGTCTAATAAGATATCGGCACCTAATCTCTTCAAGAGATTGTGGTTCTTGGGGGAAGCGGTAGTGATAGCTCGTAGACCAGATAATTTGGCTAGCTGAATAGCGATTTGACCGACGGTGGTTGCACCACCCCATATGAGAATCTGGAGGTGAAAAAATTCCAATCAGAGACAGTCTCGAGAGAGAAGTTACGTTCATGAACGCACCGGGAGTTCTTCCTTTGCAGGTTCAGATGGCGTTGAAAGGTCTCTGTATTGCCAGAGACACTGTGCAGCTGTGAATCCTGCCAAACCTAGCGTCGATGCGTCTTCGAAACTGACATGGTCTGGTAAGGGAATGACGACCTGAGCGTCTGCTACTGTGTACTCTGCAAAAGTTCCGCCGAGGGTGTTGTCGACGCCTTGCAAAAGCATTGAGCTACCAGTTAGAGAAGCCCGCAAATGTAGGGAAGGCTAGTGCGTATGCACTCACAAGCATTGACAAAACTTGCAACTCGTTCGCCCATTCGCCTTGTTCCTTCAGGTACATCGGGCCCAATCTCCTCGACAACACCGGCATAGTCGTGGCCAGTGACAACACCATTCGTTAAAAAGTGCTGGACTTTCATCCCTGCCCAAGTAGAGTCAGGCTAATCGCGTTCGATGAACCATAAGCATGCTCACATTCCGATGGATTTTGAGCAGCAGCGACCACCTTGACAAGAATCTGGCCAGGTCCTGGTTTAGGTACCGAAATGCTTCGTAGAGCAACTTTCCCGTCACCAGTTGTGAGGACGGCTTTCATTTGTGTGGGACGAGACATATTGGAGAGAGTGAGGATATCGATGCGAGTGTCGAAGTTTGCCCAGCAGGATGATTTTTATACTCGTATCCATTTTTAGAACCTCTAGAAGACCGAGGATGAAGTGCTTGCATGAGAAAGTCGTCGGTGAATTGATTAGTGATGAGCTCGGAAGTGCGGATGTGACTTCTCAAGGGCGTTCAGTGACGGTTCTTGACCTCGGAAGATGACATTGAGCTGAAGTGATTGATCTCATCACAACTGATGTTGCAAGAGGTCACGAAGGATTGGTTTGAGCTCGTCGATTGGTTGTGGCCGTTGCTTGTAAGGAGAAAAGAGACGACGAGCGGGTGCAGTGGGACCTGGCGAATACCATTTTTAGTAGGTATGTCTCACGCTCCAGATGGAGAGCCGCAGTGGCGGAGTCGCTTGAACAGTGAACTTGTACGTTGACCACGTCTATGGTTCAGCTCTTCAGGACTTCGGATAGCTGAATATCTCTAACTTATTACTGGCGTTTGAACCGCAAGAATTTTTGAATGGTGTTATCTGAACACGAAATTGCCCTATCGAAGGATTCCGAGACTTTCTTAGGCTTTCTTGGACCTAGATTGGACGGTTGGCCAGCCCAGGAGATTCTCAAACTGGGTCAGACCAGATGTATTCCTGCCAGGACCGATAATAACGACTGATGATCTGGCAATGGTGGGGCTGAATACACTCCGGTGAACAGCCAACCATCGACAATCTCAGTTGAAATTGAACCCCTTGGCCCGTGGTACATTCATAGCCATTCCGCCCACAGTTGCGCCTTCTAATATCACGAATACTTTGGTCTCTGAACGTCCATCGTCGAGATTCCCCAACTACATCATTGGTGCCGTTCTCCTAAGAAGTTTCTAGCCCACATCCTCCCATCACCGGCTGGGGCGAGCCTAGCAGAAAGAACAACCAATAGTGCGTTCTCGTCCAGCTTTGCCTTTAGGCGACTTTGATGCAAGACAATAGTCTCTACTCCTCCCCGCTATTGTACCCATGGCTACTGGCAAATATCAATGACAATGTCGGCGCGGAGGTACGTACATTAGCCTAGAACTGGAGAAATATCGCAGAAAATCCTCTGTTCAATATATTGACTTCCGTTTCCAGACGCCAGGTACAATAACCACTCCCACGAAATGACGAAACTCTCATTCAGATTGTCAAAGGATGAATTGAAGCTGGACGATAAATAGGCACTATTTGGATGTCGACGGGTCAATTTTCCCCCAACGTCGCTCGCTGCGCTATGAGGTGCCCTCGGCGAGTACTGGCCTATCTCACCCTCTCTGCCGCTCTTGTTGCTGGTCAAAATCCCCCGAGCCACCTTCCACCGGTCACATCACCCGGGGTGTTCAACGTGAGCGCGAGCATCCTCATCAATGCACCGATCGAAAAGGTTTGGGATACGATACTCGACTTTTCATCGTATCCGGACTGGAATCCTTTCGTGAGGTACGTGAATAACCTCCTCACTCATAAGAAATGATCGTCGATTCTCACCGAGTTGGACAGATCCCAGGTCATCACGGATGGTTGGGGTGTGCCTCTCGAAGACCAGACGCCTCAAGAAGGCCGTTACCTCGCAATCAAATCCCACATCCCTCCGTTGGAAGGGCCAGTTAACGCATCTACCCCGTCCAACCCATTTCAGGTCCAGTTCGCGAAGGAACAGGTTACACACATCAATACTCCACAGCAGTACCAAGCGGCTTGGAGATATGTATCAGCACCAGAGTGGGCGGTGGACGCCGAGCGATGGACTGCCGTGAGCGAAGTGACTTCCGATTCGGGAACGAGCACGTTTTACGAGTCGCAAGAAGTATACGATGGAGCATTCGCATCGACGGTGAAAGCATTATATGGAGAAGGACTGCAGAAGGGTTTTGAAGCACAGGCCGCGGCATTGAAAGCAAGGTTAGAAAACTAGACGAGTTGATTAGGGGCAGAATACCAAGTTGGATCTTGAAATTGAGCGGTCTACACACGATGGCAGCATCCGTTCTCGAAACAAGCACATTCGGAAAGCTCAGAGGAGCTCGAAAATGCAAGGGACGCGTTGAAGCTGCTGTAGGAGATTAGTTGAGGTGACTAAGCCCTCTCGTACTACGACGACGGCCTGCATAGATTGTCTTTGGAGAACCTCGGCTATTCTATCGCTGCCTTCCCTCGGACAGACTGTAGCACGAAGTGTTCGAAACAGAATTGGGCTCGTGTGAAGAAATGCGTATATATCACACTGAACCCGTCCGAGATATTTGGGGTGCTTTCGCGACAACCGGGAAGCCAGATGCAATCG